GGGACCCCCCGGCACCCGCGGCGGCGGTGTCGGTCTGTGTTCTTTAGAGCTGGGACCGGGGCGGGGAGCCGCGAGCGGAGCGGCCCCGGTACGGACTGTCTCGGCGCTGTGACAGGACCCGGAGGTGACGGGGCCGTTTCCAGCCGGCCCCGGGCCCGCTGCCGGCGCGGCAGCTCCTCCGGACCCCGAGGGCAGAGCTGGAGCCGGGGCTCCTGCTGTCGGTGCATCCTCGGCTCGGCGGAGGGAGAGGAAAGGGGCAAAACCGGGGGTCTAAGAGCTCAGTGGAGGCAATGTCGGGCTTGTTCCTCCTCCCAGGTTTGAGTTAGCCTCCTCAGGGATATGGAGGCTGAGGTAAGTCACTGAGCAGAGATGTTGGTGCCCCTTCCCCTGCAACAGGAATGGGTCCCTTCAACATCTGTCCCGTAGCTGATCCCTTGGATCTTTTTCAGTAAACCGTGTGCCTTGTGATAAAGTCTGCGTTAGGTGAGGCCCGAGGAGTGTGTGTATTGAACACCAAAATGATGGTAGTAGTTGGAAATCTCTGTGGGTTGTGACTCTGTTGTACGGAGACCAGTCCTACCTGCCGACAATTAGAGCCAACTCGCCAGTCCCACTCGGCTCGGCGGAGGGAGAGGAAAGGGGCAAAACCGGGGGTCTAAGAGCTCAGTGGAGGCAATGTCGGGCTTGTTCCTCCTCCCAGGTTTGAGTTAGCCTCCTCAGGGATATGGAGGCTGAGGTAAGTCACTGAGCAGAGATGTTGGTGCCCCTTCCCCTGCAACAGGAATGGGTCCCTTCAACATCTGTCCCGTAGCTGATCCCTTGGATCTTTTTCAGTAAACCGTGTGCCTTGTGATAAAGTCTGCGTTAGGTGAGGCCCGAGGAGTGTGTGTATTGAACACCAAAATGATGGTAGTAGTTGGAAATCTCTCTGTGGGTTGACTCTGTTGTACGGAGACCAGTCCTACCTGCCGACAATTAGAGCCAACTCGCCAGTCCCACAGCTGCGGGGTTCCTTGCTTCCTAACAGTGCAGCTCAGTTACCTCCTGAATGTTTTATGGTGAACCCTAGGGTCCTGAGGCAGTCCTCCCTACTGCTGTCACTTCTCGGGCTGTTTCTGACAGCTGTATGCGTATCTTTAATGTCAACAGGAGAATGAACGTTTTTCTTTGACAGTGAATGTAGAATACTGGGACCATTAAGGTGGCTTCCCAAGATCAGGATTTTGCGCTTGGGTAGGCAGGGGAATCAGTTTGCATTTTTAATTGCAGAGGTTTCTGTTACTCCAGTGCCTCAATTATAACAGCTTTGGAAAGATTTTAGTACTTGAAAATAACGGTGAAGAAACAAGTGGGTGTGTTCTCGTGCTTTTGAAGCAAATATGCTTACAGCAATTTTAAAGTATTTTCTTAGTATCCAAGATAGAAAGGGTCAACTGCAGAGACCTATCATTTTTTTAAACAATTTTGAATCTAATCTCTTTACAAAATTCATTCAGTCTTTAAGGAGAATTTTTTTCAAAGTGTTGGTCCTTGAACATTCAAAATAAAACTACATTTTTTTTTAATAGGTTAGTATTAAAGTACCTGTCCTGCCTGTTTAGTATATCTTTTTGTTTATCAAAAAGACTATTTGAATGGGAGCGACTGATAATACACAGGCTGCAGCTAAGTTTGTAGGGGGAAAAAAGAAAGGTTGTTTGTTTTAATTAATAGTTAATACTGTACGTGGTCTTGCAAAAGGCTGAGGATAAACTCTGCTCTTGAAAGAATGTATGTTTTGTATGCTCTAGGAATATGCAAATGTAAATAGCTATTTGAAGTGTCAGAAACTATAGACCTCTCATCTGAATATTCTAAACCAGAGTTGCCTATTAAGGGGAAAGTCTTTACTACTTCTGAGTTTTGTGGGTTTGTATTTCTCATGACCGTTCATGGTTTTTTATGCCTACTTGTAGAAATGGAGTGTGTAAAATAACCCAATAAAATATTGTGGTTATAGATTAATATTCTCTTTTATCCTGTATTCTCTTCCATGCTGCGTGATTCCATTGCCTGTCTGTGTGACAGTTGTGGTGTATGGTGCTGTGTAGCCTCAAAGTCTGTAAAAGAAGTACATGGGGAGACTGCCTAGACGAGAAAGAAGTACCACAGAGAACCTAAGGATAGCTGTTTTGTTTTGTTCTTCCCTACAAGGCCCTTTGGGGGGACACGGAGGTGTCAGTAAACTAACTTAGCTGTAGTTGGGATTCCACAAGCCAGAGCTGAGGTTAGGGCCTGCTACCAAGTCGCTGTTGCCACCTGCTACCAAGAGACCTGCTATATTTGGGGACCATTGCTAAGGATGTATTAGGAAGGTGGTGTTTGTAGGGGGAGTTTATTGGAGATTTTTTTTTTTCCTTCTTCAAATACCTGCTCTCAAAGATTCTTTTGGGAAACCAGGAATAGGAACAAGTGAACATTCATTGGATTTATTTGGCAGAGCTTAAAGTTACACATAGTTCCTTAAGACTATGTGAGACTATGATGACAAAGCTGAGACCTAATGTGATAGCGGCAGCCTGCGTGCTGCAGATGAGTAAGACCGTTTTTCAAAGTGAATTGATATCAAGCACGCTGGAAATACCAAGAGACATGTAGGTTAATTAATTTAGATGAATACAGAAGTGCTGTTTTCATGCTCAAATTCAATGTTCTAAGCTGTTTTCAGCACAGAGCCAATTGTCTGTGTGGTTACACTTTGACAGGAGGTACAGGAAAACCTGAAGGAGCGCATTGTTGTTAAGTAAAACAAAGTGAATTTGGTGCATTCCTTAGTGGCTTTCTTTTTTAGTTCTGTAACTTGTATGCTTTTTATTTTTAACCTTTATCATCAGTTTTGTCCATAGTTCTGCTTTTGAAAGAGAGCAGAAAAGTAGTAAAAAGTACCTACCTGTATCCCAAAGTATTAGAAAGTTTAAAGTTCTCTAAAGTTAGTTAAAGTTCTTCTTGACGTTGTCTTCAAGAAGAGATCTGTAAAGGCATATAATATGCAAATGATTGCAAAGAGAAGCTGAAAATAAATACTTATTTTTAAGCTTGCATAGCTTCCTTGTTCTCAGTAAATTTACAGAATGCAAAGAATACTTAAGGTTTCTCTATTTACTTTAGTACATTAAACACGGTTTGAAACTTTCATTTTTTGGCTGTCATCATACTTAAAAAACTTCAGACTAAAAATAATTGGTTTTGATAAATGTAGTAGCTGCGATGATACTGACTGGAACTCAGCACCAACTTTTGCATTTAGTTGTTGAAAGCCCTGCTTGATCAGCCCATAGAAATTAGGGTCTGTGTTTGAGAGGTGCTTGAAGATGCAAATAAGGTGTTTTGTGGCATTTTCAAAAGCAGTGAAAGAGCTTTCAATTTGGGTCTTTCAGTCTTTCTAAGAATTGCTGTAGGTTTTAGATAATGGACTAATAGTGGACTAAAAAAGTAAAGAGCAGAGGTATACTCCGCCTGTTGTGTGTGTGTGTATGTATGCATTTATATATATGTATGTGGTAGTCTTGCATTGCAGTAGTAAATATGTTCCAGGTTTAGTTAGATCAAATGCAAACTGGTGACTTTTGCACACTCCTGTGGTGTTACGTAGGTGAAACTCAAGACACTGAAACAGAACACAGAATGATGCACTTAGAAAATGAGGATGCTTTTCTTTTTAAGAGTTAGTGTATTGAGTTATTTGGAAAGCCTATTTAAGTTTTGTTTGCGTGTTTTTTTTTTTTTTTTGTGGGAGGAAGAGATCCTAGTTGTAATTATCAAATTGTTTTTATCTGTATTTAAGCACTTTGAATATTGTCAAATAACCTGGTGTGTTATTGTTATTAATTGAACTTTACATTGAATGAGGCGGATATTGAGGTGAATAGCTCGCTGGCATGAACTGCATATTGCACCTGCCTTTTTTACCTCAATTTGTTGGAAAAATGCAGTAAGGCTACTTATCCAAGGCCCAGACTTCATCTCCTTGGAAACCTGATCTTTCACCAGATGTTGAGAAATGTGATTTCTTTTTTAATCCATTCTGCAGAAGAACGCAGATCAAAACAGCCTCTTCAGGCTTTGGTAGTCTGGAATATTCATTAACTAAAAAAATAGTCTGACATTTCAGTCTTTGTCCCAAAGAAGATTGATCGTTTCTGTTGCATTTGATATTATTGCAAATTTATTTAACTGTTGCTAAAAATCCTGTAGTGGTGGTATAGTTTAATTCAATTCAAGAACTGGCTGATAATGTCTTCTTCATGTGTACAGTGCAGGACTATCTGTGTTCCCTGCCCCTTCCTCGCCTGCAAGGATTCATCTTTCTTCTCTTTGTTCAGGTCATCTTTTCTCCCTTGCAGCTGCAAAAAGGTATTTCTTAGCCAAGGCATACAGAATTTGTAACCTTTTCAGTCTCCTGCCATTTGAGAAGCTGTTATTCAACGTCTCTGATGTCAGACACACTTCTAGGTCAGCTGCTGGTGTCAGAACAACTTGTGACCCTGAGCTGAAGCCATGCTGTAGTTTAGTAGGTTGGTCTTCTGTAGGAATGGTGCCAGTAGGCTACTTAAAGAGCAAGAAATATTGTTGGCAGGATTTTAGAATGGTGAAATAACAAGCTACGTTTCTTGTGGTCTAAGTTGTTGATGTTCTCTACTAAATTTAAAGAAACCCATTCGTATGAATATAAGCAGTTGAGGAAGGTGGTTGTAGTTTTCATGTTTGTTTTGACAATATTTTCCTTGCAAATGTTAGTAGGCTCTATTTTCCACAGGTACAAGGCAATTTAGTGGCACCTTGTGTAAAGGAAGCAGCAAGCATATTGCTAAATCCTTAACAGTCCTTACTTGGTCTGGCTGTGATGGAAATACATCTTCCAATGTGCAGTTGCTGTAACACTGGGAAGGTTATGTTTGGCAATTCCTAAGCAGTGTGTATTGGCATCATGTCTCTCAAATCACTTTAATAGGAAGGTATTTTATAGTAAGTCATATATGCTTATTCAGTTGTAGCCGTTTGCTTTAATTCCTTTCTGTGTCAGCTAAAAATAAGTTAATGGAATCCATGTATTTTAAAGATTGGATGTGGTCTTGATACAAGACGACTCAGAAAACTCTAAAGTTAGTCTTACCGATTTGGGATTGATGTAGGTTTTGGAGGGAGAATGAAATAAGACTATCAGAGAACTCATAAATGAGTATTATTCTTGAGCTGAAGTTCTTTTTACCTTGGAAACTTCCTTAAAGTGGCTTTCCTTTTCTAGTTTGTCTAACAAAAAAGGACAAGATCTGAAAGACTTCGGTAGAAATTGCTAAATAATGCTGTACTGCAGAAAAGTTACTTCCTAGAAAAAACACGAGAAAATAAAACTAATACATTTTTAACTTTTTTTTTTTGAAGCATGTTTTTTCTGTCTTTAAAACTGTTAGTTTTATAGTTTCCTTGAACTGGTTTGGCTGGTTTGGGGTTTTTTTCCTTGAATTGTTATGACTTGATTTCTCTTTGTTATCTGTGGATTTTTCTTAGAGTGTTACGAAATTTAGGACTTCTGTTCCAATTTGAAGCAAAACTATATAGTTTAAAGTAATAAAACTTTTAGTAAAACTATATAGTAAAAAGTAATAAAACTTTTATCCTTTGTTGCATGTATGCATTGTAGTTGTGTTGAGAGTGACAGCAAAATGGCTTTGATTCGAGTTCTACTTCTATTTCTAC